TACACTGTAAGTCTCATAGAGATGTATGTACAGTATCTTAAACATAAGAAATGGGAAATAAGATCATTGAAATCTGTGTCAATCTGTACCTGTTTTTCTTGCACCCTAACCAAATTATGATTATTGAACAATATTTGACGGGCGTATCATGCTGTGGCGAAGCACTTTTTTTTATGACATATTGTCTCAAATATGGACGCCCTACATGTCATTTAGCAAATATCACTGAAGTTGATTTTTTTTTAAATAAGGTCAATCTTGAAGGTCAAGGTCAGTGAAATGAAGAATAATAAAGCGCCAGGAATTGATGGTTTAGTGACAGAAATTTATAAAAACTCTCTTGATCAATTATCACACTACTTTGTAAAATTATTTAACATTATATTAGAAACAGGTATTTTTCCAAGTGAATGGGGTAAAGCTATTATATGCCCTATGAACAAGAGTGGAGATAAGAATATAACAGAAAATTACAGAAGAATATCATTATTGAATGTCATCAGTAAAATTTTTACTATAATTTTGAATAACAGATTAACTTGTTGGGCAGAATATGAAGGAGTATTGTTTGAACAACAGTCTGGTTTTAGACAGACACGTTCTACTATTGATAATTGCTTTGTTCTTCAAGCAAGTGTTTATAAATATATTAGTAAAAGCAAAGGTAGAATGTATTGCATGTTTATAGATTTTTCAAAAGCTTTTGATTGTGTTCAACATAATATTTTATTGTATACACTATTCAAGAAAGGAGTCAGTACAAATATTTTATTGCTTTTAAAGTCAATGTATTCCCAATTAACATCATGTATTAGAAATCAAAATCTTATTTCAGACTTTTTTCAATGTAATATAGGTACAAGACAGGGTTGCATGTTAAGTCCTTTATTATTTATCATGTTTATTGGGGAACTAAAAGAATTATTAGAATCAATAGAATGTAAAGGCATATACATTGATGAGACATATCCTAACATTATGCAGTTACTTTTTGCTGATGATGTAGTTAACTTTGCGGAAACTGTTATTAACTTACAAAATCAAATTAAAGCCTTAGAAAAATTTTGCTACAAATATGGCATGAAAATTAATTTACAAAAGTCAAAGATCATGGTGTTTAGACGTGGGGGAATAACAAAAAGTACAGAGAAATGGTTTTTTGATGGAAGAGAAATTGAAATTGTATCATTTTACAAATACGTAGGGTTATATTTTACAAGTACAATGTCATGGGAACTGACAAAGAAGTCTCTGTGTGTGTCAGCAGAAAAAGCATTGTTTATTATATATAAATTTATGAAGATGTACAATGCATCATATAAACAAATCTTTTGCATTTTTGATAGAATGATTGTACCTATTTTGACTTATGGTGCTGAATTATGAGGGTATGAGTTATCGAAATGTATCGAATCTATGCATACAAAGTTTTGTAGAAGAGTTTTAAGACTCAAGAACAATACACCTGAAATAGTTGTAGCAGGAGAACTAGGGAGATATCCTCTAATGGTAAAGTACTTTAAGAAATTTATTACATATTGGTTAAAGATACTTTATATGAAAGATGATAGATATCCAAAAAGATGTTACTTATTTTTACTTCAGTTAAATAATGTAGGTAGAATTAGAGGTAACTGGGCGTCAGAAGTGAAGTCAATGTTATGTAGATATGGATTCCACTAAGTATGGCTTTATCAAGGTGTAGGGGATAATGTTTCATTTTTAAAAGAGTTTGTACAAAGAGTTCAGGATAACTATATGCAAGAATGGCACTCTTCATTGAGCTCTTATAGTAAACTGGATTTTTATTGTAAATTCAAAATTCTTTTTGAACCGGAAAGGTATCTAGATGTCATAAACAATGTATCTTTTAGAGAATCACTTTGTAAATTAAGAACCTCTAGTCATTGTTTGGAAATTGAACATGGTCGATTTAAAGGTATTCCCAGAGAAAATAGATTTTGTCTCTTCTGTCAAATAGCAAATAAAAATTGTATTGAAAATGAAAAGCACTTTGTAGAAAATTGTGAATTATATATGGATATTAGAGTAAACTGTAATATTTTGAAACACTTAAGATTTTATAAAAACACTGTGAATATGCTTATATATGGAAATGATGCAGTGTTAAATGATGTCGCAAAATTTACCTTTTTAGCTTTTAAAGAGAGGGAAAAGTTCATTGAGAATTTAATATGTGATAAGTTATAAGTATAGTCTATATGTTTCCATATTGTATACCTGGTAAGCCTGATCTAAAATTGTAAATATAACATTGTAAAATATGAATGTACTTTGGGCCGGTGGCCTACAATACTTAATTCAATAAATGATTAGATTAGATTAGGTCAAGGTCAATGAGTCACAAATCAGGATGCTTGGAAATATATTGTCACGGGTAATGCACATGTCAATGCATATGAAAGCCATATTTGTTCTCAAGATAAGAAACAAGATGTGTTTGTAAAACACTGATGACTCCTTTGGCAACATAGCGAAGATTAAACTTTTCTTAAATGCAAACTAAATATATTATTACCCGAAGGTCATTCATGATATCCAAGGAAAGGCCCTGTCGAAAGGTTAAATATTTGAAACATGAAAGCCGTAGCAATAACCCTTTGAAAGTTATGGTCAGGGTTTGTTTTTAAATGTAGGTTAAACTCCAAGGTCTAAGGGTCAAAGTTCATGGTATCTAATGAAAAGGTCTTTGCACAAGGATTACATATCTGAAGTATGAAAGCCCCAGCCCTTACCATTCAAAAGTTATGGTCAAGGTAATAGTTTTTTTCAGAAGTACAGAAATCTCCAAGGTCAAGACGTCAAAGTTCTTGGTATCCTATGAAAGGTCTTGCCATAAACAATGTATATGTGAAATATAAAAGTCCTAGTATATATCGTTCAAAAGTTATTACCAAGGTTCAAGTTTTTAAAAATTACGTCAAACTCCAAGGCCAAGGTCAAATGGTAAAAGTTTTTGATATCCAATGAAACATTTTGTCACAAGGGTTAAATATATGCAGTATGAAAGCACTAACCCTTACCCTTTAAAAGTTGTGGATAAGGTATGTTTTTTAAAAGTAGGTCAAACTCCAAGGTCAAGGTCAAAAGGTCAAAGTTCTTTGTATCCAATGAAAGAACTTCTCACATTAATTACCTACGTGAAGTATGAAAGCCCTATCTCTTACCGTTCAAAAGTTATAGCCAAGGTTAAAGTTTTTTCACAAGTACAGAAATCGTCAAGGCCAATAGGTCAAGGTTATTTTATCTAACGAAAGGTCTTACCACAAAGAATACATATGTGGAATATGAAAGTCCTAGTTTATACCATTCAAAAGTTATGTCCAAAGTAAAAGTTCGGATTTTTAATGTAAAAGTGAGTCAAACTCCAATGTCAAGGTCAAAAGGTCAACTTTGGTAGTACCCAAAGAAAGGTCTTGTCACAAGGAATACATTATCTCGAATCATCTATATTATTATATGATTGAATAATTCCTATCTTTCTGATTGGCTGAGATCCAACTATGTGGAAGGAATACTATGTTATACTTACCTGCACGTGACGTTCCATGTGAATACAAGGATTTATTTTCTCTACATTGATCTAACTTAAGATCAGGAAATTCCAAATTGATACAAATTGTTTTGGAGCTTTTTAAGCTTTTTAAACGACTGTGGCTTTTTTCATGTGAACAAATATATATATATATATATATATATATATATATATATATATATATATATATATATATATATATATACTGTAGGGTGAGGGTGGTACAATGTAAGAGGGGATGAAGAGACCTTATCCAACACTTTTACTGAACTACAAATTTTCCTTTTTTTCGCTGTCAGTTTTCCCTGATAATACTTCTCCCTTTCAAAATCTATTCTGTAAAAACACTGACACTATATCTTTTTTTCATGGCAACTAAAATAGATAAAAAAATATTTCAAATTGATACAACTGGTAAGGTTCTTTAATTTACATTTTAATTTTAATTCTGCTTCTCTCTTGTGTTTGGCTAGACTTGATTAAATGCAAACAAGTAAAGAGATGTATCATGTTATCAGTGAATCATAAAATAATTATTGCCGTCTTTCGGTCAGTAGAATGATTTATACATCTGAGGAGTACAATATTTAATATTATTAAATCATTATATTGACCTCAAAAAAGAGCAATAATTGTATATTAATGACTTCACATCGACCCTTGTCACGGTCTATGATCGACCGTCAAAAGTAAGAATAACTGAAAACTTTAAATTTTGTCTAATTCTATGTATTTTCTAAAACGGAATAAAAGAGTCGTGTCCTTACGTTGAAAATCGCTGGATCCGCCTTTGAATTGCTATAACCCAGATATCTACGTGATTATTATGTAATAAACATGAATCGTGTATGTACATGACTATATTGTAACACGGGATGTACGCGATTATGTAATATAAGTCGTTGGTTATGTCCGTAGTTATTTTTACGTTAGGGAGTCCTTAGACAATATGCTTCATACGTAATATAGTGTTCTTCCATTTATCAGTTATCTAGGTATGTCCATACAGCAGATTTTCGGATTAAGAACAAAATATTTTTGAATTCACTTTTATTAAAAACACATCAGAAGTTAATTTAATGCAAGAAAAACTAGATAAAAAGATTAAACTTCAATTGTCTCTCTCAGTACAGATGTAAAATACTCTTCCATGGAAATTATTTCGAAAGTCTTTATGACGTCCTTTTTCAAATCATAATCTAAGAAAGCAAGAAAATAAAATATCCAAACTTTCAGTCTATATCCAGAGAGCGTCAATCAAAATAGTCTAACGTCGAATATATAAAAAAAAAATTTCTACTTGCTTAAATTAATAGGCACTCTTGCAGGCCAGACGCTATTTTACTGAATGAGGAACTTATCACTTTCCTATCAGGCTATAAGCCACAGTAAAATGAAATTATCCCCCCAAAAATTGAATGTTTTCTTCAATCAATTCTGTTACCTAATGACGTCTTATCATCATTAGTGTCTCCTTGACAGATGTTCCTGATGTAATTGTTGGATACCAAGGCCAATCCCACCTATTTGAAGACCAGGGACCGTTCAGGAATGCGAGGTAACAGCTGTTGAACCACCAGCCTCCTCTGCAGTCAAAGTAAGCAGCACAGCTTCCGATCCACTGATCGTTATCTCTGTCGGGAGTAGAGAAATACATCCCAGACAGGTCACGTGATCTATACCCAGTGTTCAACATACTGTCACCTGTTGAATGAAAACAAAATGACATTAGACAGCTTCATGCTTTAGATAAATTTATTCCTTTTTTTTTTAATTATACTTTTGTTCAACTTTCTTGGCCACTGAGTGGAAACAATAATATATGCCTGTTTAAAGCTACATGTACATGTATGTTTTTGAGTACAAAAGTGGACATAATGGTAATACAATCACCTAAAAGACGTTGTACAAAGGAACAGTAAGTCGACAAATTATCCTTGAAAGTTCGCATGTGAATAAGGTTAATTGCAGAACATTTTTACATCATAGAACATTTAAACATTGTTCATATTTATACCTCCTGCTTTAAAAGTGGGAGGGTATACTGTAATCGGTTTGTCCGTCCCTGTCTGTACGTCCGTTCGTCCGTCTGTCTCGTTACGCTTTGGGTTACCCATCTCTTGATGCGACACATATTTTGGGTTTCCAATTTAAAATTTTGCATAGAGGGGTTGATTTAATGGGTGTCATTATACCATAAAATCAACGAAAATTAAATCTCCAGGAACTTAAGTCGTTTGACCATAGCATAGGACTTAAAATAAGGTGAGGTATGTATAAATGTAACATTACCAAAATGTAAAATTTTAAATCCAATTTATACATAACGTGAAAGTTTAAATGAATGCAATCTTTTTTATATATACATTTAACGACCCCCTACCCTATCTCTCTCATTTGTTCTACGTATTTTCTTTTTACTTTAATGTGACAAAATGACTAATATATCTCACTCTGTAACAATCGACCTGTCACCTACCTAATGTTCCCGTTGCGGGTCCCTCCAGAAACAGTTTATACTTCTCTGTTTCGTCAGAAATGGCGAACTTGTCGTACAACTCGTACAGACTTGTACCATCCTGGGGAGTGATGGAGACATAAAGGGACGAGTGATTTCCCTTTGTTAACTGATGAATTATGTCATTTCCTGTTTAAAGATTTATAGGCGTATTACAATGCACCATTGTTTTTTAAAGAAATATTCCCCCCAAATCAGATTATACATCTCGTAAAAGGCAGTCCGCCATATTTCCCGTTCTTCAAGGCTCTCCTACAACCCATATATAAGGAGTAGATCGCTTATCCGACGAGTGTAGACGCACATCTTGCAAAGCCGTGCTACTCGGTCACGATGAAATTATCAAATTTAACGATTTTTTTCCAAAACAGGACAAAAGTATCATGAACCAGAAGTCTCTGTCGAGACTGTAGCTCTACTGAATTGTACTTATCAAAAACCATTGCACTATTTTATGTATCTTTGTGTAGTTTACTTGTGTGCCAACTTATTTTGAAATCGAACTAAAACTGTAGAAGGAGTAGCGTTTTAAAGGAATTTCACATAAAATTCTATTTTTAGTAACCATGGCAACACCGTTCATTGAAATCAAAACCGATGCACTATTCTATGTATCTTAGTGTAGTCTACTTGTGTGCCAAGTAATATTGAAATCAGACCAAAACTGTAGAAGGAGTAGTGTTTTCAAGGAATTTCACAGAAAATTCTATTTTTAGTAACCATGGCAACACCGTTCATCGAAATTAAAAACCGATGCACTTTTCTATGTATCTTCGTGTAGTCTACTTGTGTGCCAAGTAATATTGAAATCAGACTAAATTTGTAGGAGGAGTAGCGTTTTGAAAAATTGTTTACAGACAGACGGACAGACAGACAGACGGACGGACGGACGCCAGACGCATTACTATCGCATAAGCTCTTCTGGTCTCTGACCAGTAGAGCTAAAAATATATAGTAAATACATTATTTTAAACAAAAATTATGCTTTATTTTAAAACAGAAAATGCACATAAAACAAGGTATAAACGCAAAAAATCTAAGACCACGAAAGGAGTACTACATGTCGGCCACGAGTTTCGAGTGTGCAATCGGGTGTAACGAAATCGAACGGTTTATACACCCGTCTGACAGTGCCTATTTGTGAGAAGTGTTCAGCTTTAACTATTTTAAATGTTGATGACCGTTTATGGGAAGAGTTCATCATATTCATCAGAACATTTTACTTTTCTCTTTTGCCCGACTATAATTATTTAATTTTTTTCAAAGACCTTTCAGTTTATTGTTATCACCATGGAAGAGGACACAACAGAAGCAATATAATGCCCTCTAGTAAATAAAATGTTCTCTGTTTTTCCTCACATTGGCTCATTTAACTTTTCAACATTTTTTATGTTTTAGGAACTATCAAAAAGAATTGACAAATACTGTGTTAAAATAAAATCTTAATTTCTTTTGTAAAGTTGACACGATACATAGATCATTTATCAAATATGAAATTAAAATAATGGCCCAGTTTTAATAGGATTTATATTTACCTATCCAAACATCCCGATCCAGTGTACCGAAACCATTCTTATACGCCTCCCAGTCCTTGTCAAAGCTCTGGGATCCATCCACTCGTTTTTGGATTACCTTCCGAAAATAAATACGTCTATTTATTCATTGAAACTTGTATAGTGATGAATAGATATCTGTTTGATAAGTGTATTAAAGATTCAGAGTGTGAGTTTCTTGTTCACTATCAATCCTTTGTACGACAGAATGAGAGATTACAATAAATATTTCTTTTACCAATTTAAAGACTTAACGAGGCCGAGTCTAATTCGAGTGCGCATTACCTATGCGCAGCTTTTTAATTTCATGCAGTTACAAGTGAACACTACGCCTTCCAATATATTGTAATTTTAATATAAAGTTAACATTATATGTAACGCTTACTGGTTTGAATATGTGATTTTACGACAGCAATTTGGGGGGAAAACGCTGAAATGGCTAACGACGTCACTGTTTTGTAAGCATTTTATACGACGCTGAAGGATGACACATGACTCGCTAATATGTTCGTAGACTTTCATAGATATTATACTAAAAATAATGACAGAACATCAGAAGAAACATACTAACAATCTAAATATTGCTATAATTTTTCAAACAAAATATCTGTGCCGATAATGCTTCTGAACCGATCTGTATTTATACCACATTTCTAGAGGTATTGGACATCGGACAAATAAATAAACTTTGTTGTAATCAAGACCTAGACCAACCTAGACAGTCAGCTTCTTTGAAATGTCACAATTTGGTGACTTTTTACAATGACTTTCGTTTACTGGACTGAAGAAGAAAATATACGGCAGAAATACCAAAAATATGGGAAAAAATGTGATAATTAGGCGGTTTTCCATCCAATTCTGGGTCCAATAGTAAGATCCCCTAAGATATCAAGGTAGTTAACATTCGTTCATATAATCTTAAAACAATAAATATCAAAGTAAAAATTAACGAAAAATTAACAAAATCCCTAGGGTAAAAATAATTAGACTTGGCCTCGTTAATTCATAAACATGAATACCGTCCACCCGCCTCCTTTTGTGTCCATGTCACAGAACACTCTGATAGGACTGGTGTTGGTACCATCAGGGTAAATCTCGTATACACCGGAATTAGTATGACCATTTTTATGCAGATCCTTGCAATCAGCACGAACTAAAACAGGAAAAACATACATGTACAGATATTGATATTTATTCTAGAAATATATGCAAGATTGAAAAAGAAGGACCCTAAATAACTATTTCCTCTTCACTTTAAATGTGTATCTATATGTAAATTTAATAAGTCTTGCAGTTTCCTTAAATTGCTCTAGAATTACTTTTAGAATCATATGCTTTTCCACTGGAACAAATACTTTCCCTACTTATCAGAAATCTTTTTTTAAATATACCGTTACAGACTGAAACGAGAAGTCTGTGAGCCAATGCTCACTAGTTATACCCCCGCTCTGATGTGAATATAAATTAACATTTTAAAAATACACGCTAAGTTCAGTTACAGGCAGATGCATGGATAAATGGAAAAATAAATCGAGGAATAGCGCACTTTTATGCGCGCAATAAGTATACAGTTTTTTTTTAATGGGTGTCACTGTAGCTCTCTACTCCAGCAGGCTAGAGGCTCAAGGCGAGATACTTTTCATTTGGCACCGCGTAACCTAGGGTGTTGCTAAAACGCGTAACGGAAAACGGAACGGAAAGCGGAACGGAACGGAAAATATCATTTGAGATTAAATCATTTGAAATATATTAATTTCTCTGAAACGATACATTTTATACATATTTAATACATCCATGATCAATACAAGTTTAATTAGTCATTTTAAGTCTCTTACGAAAAGCGCTGACAAATTAATGACATAGCTCCAATTTCTTTCAGTATTATTTTCTTACACTTACTGACTACTATTTATTTAACAGACAGAAAGTGTTGGAGGTTTCAATGATCATTTCAATAGTATAAAGGTTATGTCTGGAAAACAGTTGAGGGGATATTTGTTATCTTTAAAAATCATGGTAATTGGTAAAAAATAAAATGTAAAAAAAAAAATTCTAAATAAGATTACTATGAGAGCACCCCTTTCCCACAAGCCCGGATAACACTTCGATTGTAAAACTGGTTTTTTAAATTTTATACAAATTAGAGTCGCTTCCTATCAATTAAAATCTTGGATAGATGGAGTTGTAAATCTTTACTTTAGTAAAATTAATATATCGTCCATACGTTTTATTAAGTTATTAAAGCGTTTTTCTTTTTGGGGGAGTGGGGTTGAATGACCCAGTAATGTTGCAGCTATTCATATTTTAATTTTTCAATATGCCACTCATGGATTTAAAGGGGAGAAAGACCCCCCGTCCTTTTTCTGACCAATATATGTGTGTGACAGAGAACCTACTCCGACCCCAAACTGCCCCCTCCCATTTCAAGATTCCCGGAATCGCCAGTGTATGCGGCATAATCTGTATACCAGTATGTCAAAACTAGTTCTTTTTTGTCTTTACCGATACACGTATGTATACATACTAGTAGTCTTTTTCCTTCCGTCTTTTTCAATACAAGATTTTTTATTTATAAATAAGCATTCTCTAAAATAGGATTTGAACGAAACGTTTGACAGATGGAAACTACTGTAGATCACTAAATTTTCGCGAGATTGTCATTGATTCTTTGTAAGCGAGACATAATTTTCACGAATAGTTGTTATTCCTCTATATAATCATAAGGAATACTTTTATACGCGAGAATTTAATTTTCGCGAACGCATTGTCTCGCGTAATTACGCGAAAATAAAAAGTGATTTACAGTAGTTCAATTTTTTTTTTTAAATGTTCAGCTCAAAGAGACGAATTCAATGGTACCAAAAGATTTCACCTAACTTAAAAAATAAAAAAAGTTATAGGAGTTAGAAAAAAATTAAGAAGGGGGGGGATGTAATAAAACTGCTTATAACTCGTGAACGAAACATCGGAGAGAAAATACCGGAGTTTCTCCCCCCCATCTTCCGGGCAACATTTTTGAAATTCCGTTTCTATTGAGACCTTAAACTCTCTTTTAGTCTTAGGAGAAAGTTTTATTTCATTCTGAGAAAATGTCGTCAAAAATGAGGTCATTTTAGAGTATATAACCGATAAATTTATTTTCTCTAGTTCATTTTACATCATGGGTCACAACATTCCAGACGGAGAAGAATATTGGCCTACAGTTCGCTATGTAACCAACGAAAATTACCTGGATTATAATGGAACTTTACATTGACACTTCCGAGAGACGGATACAGAGGAATGGGAGATCAATATCCCCCGGAACAAGCGGCAGTGATGTGGGCACTTTTCATTCAAATGGAAGTTCATGATCTTATTTATTGACCGTCGCATGTACATGTTATGAGAGGAGCATAATTCACAAATATATTATATTTAATGTTAATTTTTCATTAAATATGACTTTTATATCATGAATATTGCTTTTTATTTCTGATTCATATCGAATCAATGTTCTTTCCTTGACATTTATTTTCCGTTCCGTTCCGCTTTCCGTTCCTTTTTCCGTTCCGCGTTTTAGCAACACCCCGTAAGTAACCTCTAGCATCCATTGTAAAAATTCTCGCCGCTGAAACCCTAAGTGGAAATAAAATATTTAATTAAAAACTAAGGCTTTGTATATTAACGAATGGCACAAAATAATAAAATACTCACTATTTACGATAAACTTTTCGCATAAAACACTGTTAATCTTTTGCATTAGCAATAAATCCATTATTTTTAAAATCGCAGCAGAAATTGAAACAAGTCGTCTCTTTAAAATTCGGGAATGGAATGCAAAAAATCTGACGAAACGAAACTACTTAAACGCAACGAAAATTTTGTTTTCTGACTAGCGATCCAAAAGATTAATGTGAACTCAAATCGAAAGTACTTCTGATGGCAAATTAGAATAATGGCAATTTTCAATAATGGACAATAACGCACACTGAATAAAATGGATTTTATGATTTTTTGTGACTTGGATACCCCATGCAAACACGTAGATACATGAAAATTACTTGTTAACAGTTTATTTCACGCATATGTTCCGCCCAAAATCTCAGGCGGAACAAGCTCGTTAGGAAATGGCCTTCGGATGTAAGAGTCCGAGGTATATAAGGAGCCTAGGGACGTTAACCGAGGCTCTTACTTGTATGAGTATGAAGCTTTCCAGTCTGTGATATTTTTTTTTCGGAGAGCTGCAGTTCTGCAGCTAAAATCTATAAAATCTCTTGATCAACCTTTTAATTTGCAAAATATTATTCTCGCGATTTAACATTGCAGATCACATTCGCGATAATAAGTAATAGCAAAAAAATAAGAAATCTACAGTATTATTTCTCCCTTAATACGGTGTAATTACAGGATATTGATATAACTGCTTCCCACGTGTATGATAGGCTTTCTTTTGGTTCTTTTCAGAAAAATGTTGAAACACAATCACTGAAGAAATATAAGAAAAAATCATCCTATTAGGAACAGGAAAAAACCATGTTAAATCATATTGATATGGACTTATTCTTAGGTGGTACATTCAAGTTTGTTCAAATTATGATTCTCCCTTCCCGGGGAAGGAAGGGGCCACAATGACGATTTCTGCAAAGGAATGTGTGGTAAAAATTCTTTTAAATTGTTCAAGAATAGTAAAGGCACATGATATATATTGATGTAGAGTATATTCAGGAAGTTCAGAATTCAAGTTTAAATTCAAGCCAAACCCCGGCGTGCAGACTAAACTGATTATTGATTTTTCTTAGCCAATGTGCTCGTGTGAGGAATATGGCCCATGGTCCTCTTGTTCTAGAGGTAAGCATATTTATTTGTATTCGATAAGGATCCTGAGGAAAAAACAAAGAAAGAAAAATACTTTAAAAGCTACAATATAAAGATGTTTCTTTTTCCAAACCTTGACAAACAAAGTCTGTTATCCAGGTCCCATTTTTGTGGCACACGATCATTCCGGATCCTCGCTGTTCAAAGGAATCCAAGCATTTAATGTGCATTCGTTTTCTTATTCCTATTCCCTCCCATTTTTGTACATTCCACGTGGTATTTTTTATTATATCGACAGGGATCCCACAATCTGATGAAGAAAATTTCTGTCAATTAAACTAATTTCAACATCACCTAATAAGTAAGATTGATTGATTGTATGTTGTTTAGCATCCCTATCTCGAGAATTTTTTACTCGTATGGAGACGCAACCACTTGTTAGTGGAGAGCTACAAATTGCATCCAATGCACGGCATTTAGGGCCACTACTCCAGTGAGGGGTCTTTCACGTGCCAGCACCTACTGCGGCAAGGGACCTCGGTTTATATACGGTCTCATCGAATGAGCGGTCTCCACGTTGCACACTCGGATTTGAACCCGCGACATAAGGATCGACTCCGAACTTCGCGACTGACAATCTAGCCACTGCGCCACGAGAGCAACATTTCTTAAATATGAAAATTCTAAAGGTGTTTTAAAGGTGGATGAAATATGACGAAAATGAGAAGCAAAGATGCTTAAAATGCATTAATTAATGAAACGGAAAAATATTTGTCCCCTGGTAAAATTCCCCAAGCTTCGCATTTCATGGTTGGTGGTTAAACGAAATATGGAGAAATTTATACGCCATGAATGAGGACATCCCGTGCGAAAAGTATCAAATATTTGGGCAGTTACCGTTTCAGATTAGGTTTTTTTTAAGAGTTTTTTGTCTGCATGTGAGCTTTAAATCTCTACAACAATTTTAAGTAATTGTGATACGTTAAAGCAGCAACGTTGCACTGGATCCTACAGAGATTTTTGTACCATTACAAGTAGAGCACTCGTTCCGTGATAGGGATCGAGGTTGCGAGTTCGGATCTCGGCCTCGACTGACCTTAGCCGATTAAATATGGGTAGCAATTGTTCCTTCGTCATGCGCTCGGCACTTAAAGGGAAAGTTACAGGCCCCTCTGCTGAGACCTTAAAAGCTGATGTCCCTTCTCACGACAGTCGTTGACAAGGTAAAGATCCCTCACTGCTCAATGACTGTGAGTGCCGAGTAGAGATAAACTTTAAAGCCCTTCACTACGTTATATGGTAACGTCTCCACAGGAGTGGAAAATCTCGAATGGGACGCAAAACAACATATAACCAATCGTTTCTATCAGAAATTAAACAAGCTTATTCAGAGATTTTGTGTCACCCGCTTAGGGATAAAGTATACGATGCGCTGTTCGGAGGGGGGGGGGGGGGGGGGTGTCGGATAACCTTGACTGAATTTGTTATTAAATGTATACTGAAGCAAATGAATATGTTAATATGGATATAAAGATTGAATTGCTTATTCTTTATTGTGTGTATAGAAGATTCTTTTTAAATGGAATATTAACCAAACGGAAACGCAAGTGTTATAGCAGACAGAATTTGCGATTTTATGACCTTGAACGTTGACCTTTTGACCTCAAAATCGACAGGGGTCTCTTTAGTCCTTAGGGAGTTGCTATGCAAAATTTCATTGCAGAAGCTCAAAGGGTTCTCGAGATATAATGTGGAAACGAAAGCGTTACAGACAGACAGAAAGACGGACAGACCCAAATTAATATCCCCCACTTTTCAAGCGGGGGACGAAAAAATATATATACAAGAATATTTTGTTTCGCATAGCTGAATTCTATACATTCAACAAAGTATGCAGTCCGGAGCATTTTCCGGGGCTTCTTTAGAAAACATAAAGTTCCTAGGCCTTGATTAATATTTGAATAATTGAAACTAATTTACTGAAATTTCCTAACGCAGTTCCTTGTTTTTATCTAAAATTCTCTTCAATTATTAAAATGTTTTCTCTTTATCAATATTTCTCTTGACTTCCTGCATGACAACGAAAAACAAACTTCTCAACGCAAATAATTTGGAAACGTAGCTGTGTTAAGGCTTTCCGAAGCATTTATTTGCATTAAAGCATGTCTTAAAATCCTAAAACTTCAAACTTGTTTTTATTCCAGTATGTTTATAATGATGGGAAATCTTAACAATTTGAACATGGGGGTCTTATATTGCAATATCACATGACCTGGTTGATTACATGACTCTCATCTATAATTTTTAAAGTGATGCACATAAATCGCTACCAGGATTTGTACTACCTCTAAGTGCTTTACCATTTTTCTTTACATTTTTAGCTCTTCTGAGCCAAAGGTTCAAAGAACTAATACTATGGCGATTTGTGCGGTTCGTGTCGTGCGGTGTGCGTAAACTTTTTAGAATATGGGCCATAACTCACGAACCCCTGATCAATCCTTGTCAAATTTGTTATGGGGTATCCTTGGCCCAAGGGCTACCATTTATACTAAAACTATTGGTGGGACCCGAAACATAGGAAAATAAAACCAAAAATACTGTTTGCTAAAAAATCTTCTCCAGAACCACTGGGCAGATTTTCAATAAACTTACATACAAGG